TGAATGTGATGACAACTCTAATCTCTTAGCTCAGGGGTTTTCAAAGTGTGGGTAGGTGAGCCTCCCCTCAGAGAACATAAGAACAGCCGCGCCCCCCCTCCCAATTATTATTGCTGTTATTATTATTATTATTGTTGTTGTAAGCCCGAATGGTCTCAACCATATTGCATCAGTAACGTGCACTTGTTGTTATAACAAGATCGCAAGGACGCTGGTAGCGATCGGAAAATTGAGTGTTGTTCAGTTTGTGTTTTGTGGAACATGCGTGTCCGTGCATGAAAATATACCACACACCCAATTACAATTGCATGTTCAATTCACTACCCTGGAAGTTAATACAGTTGTTAAAGTTGGAACAGCCTTTGGACAGCCGTTCTTCCTTGCATGTCAGTCGCCGACACCTTCTTACAGAGGACAGGCACATCTAGCTGCAGCACGACCCGTATATTTCCGCACGCCGTGTTCTCAAGACATATTTTTTTTAACATTTTCAACATGGTGGATAAATCCTTATATGCTCCCGGCAACACACTGAACGTCAACTTTGCCTCCTTATTACACTCAGCCCTACTTTAGTGGGAACAATGAGTCTGCGTCTTTGATGCACACAGGAATAAACGCAGATCATACTCTGGCTGCAGCCTTTACCGGTACTTGCTTTTGATCAAAGTCAATGCGGAAAACCTGCACTCACACAGGTAGGTGGAGGTGAAGGGAATGAGCACTCACACAGGTAGGTGGAGGTGAAGGGAATGAGCACTCACACAGGTAGGTGGAGGTGAAGGGAATGAGCACTCACACAGGTAGGTGGAGGTGAAGGGAATGAGCACTTTTACAGCCTTTTTGGCGAGGTGGGGGAACTCGGTCTCCACAGACAGCCACAAGTGGGCAAGTGTCACTTTACTCGTCTTTTTCTCGTTCTTTTGTGTCTCACGCTGCGCCCCCCCTGAAGCTCTCTGGCGCCCCCCAGGGGAGGCGCGCCTCACACTTTGAAAACCGCTGTCTTAGCTCAATGAATGCACAGATTGCTGTAATCGGACCAACAACTGACATTGAGTTGCCTGTCCAGCGTTACCTCATGCTACAACTATGACAAGGATCCATCAACTCTAGATATCTAATGACATTGTGTTTATTCATAGAATCCAAAATTGTAATTGCTAACACCTTTCGAGGTTTTAGGACTCATTGCTGCACCACAGTATCAGATACGTGCCTTAAGATAGTATAAGTGTCCGCTCTGAGTGACTCACCCGTGTCAGCGTCGGTGTATCTGGTCAGCGAGCGCTGCGAGGCCTGGTGATTCCTGTCTCTGTGCCGGCGACCTCCTCCGTGTTTCCCCTCCTCAGAAACCACCCTCTCCAGGGAGTAGTCGTCCAGCCTCACCCCCCGACCCGCACGCCCGTGGACCAGACTGGAGGTGGAGCGGCGCATCGGACTGGTGTCGGTGATGGTCTGCGTGGAGGAAGGCGCGAGTAAAAGAAAGGAAGAGAGAGCGATAGACAGAAAAGAGATACAAGTAGAGGAGGAGAGAGAAGGGAAGAAAGAGAGAATAAGAAAACAGGAAGTAAGATTTAATGCATCATGATTGGTAGTCCTCAACTCTGAGAAGGACAACCCTAGTTTCTCTTGTTTAATGAGTGTATGACTACTGCATGTCGTTGAATGTCTGTACTATGTGACCGATCCTAAATAACATATCTAAGCATTTCTGCATCCCATTAGCTTTACCCATAGCACCTGGAATCGCAAGCTAACAACCCTTTGACAAGCACATCTAATACCATGCGTCTTCACCATAACATGTAGGAATGAAACAGGGATAAACAGGGAACTGACAGCAAGGGGACAAAGGGGCAGAGAGACAGAGAGCAAGCATGAAGGAGGGCTGTAGAAACCATGCCTCACATGCACCTACTACCGGAATGTTCCAGATGGCAGCCATGTTTCATTTGAATCATTGTCAAGCACATCAGGTGTTTGATGGGCAGTGGTGAACTTCTAATTTGACAAAAACATTACAGTACTTTTCCCTTAAATAGTTTCTTACATTTTCAGTGTGGACAGAAGGTACACAGGTATTAACAACTTGAGTGAATAAGCACATTTACCAACACTATAGAAGCATGTGTTGCTGAATGTTACCTAACACATCCCCAAAATCTAATTCCAAGCTAATTTAGCGTTTTCTCTCCATACGTTTCTCTTTTTTTCTGGGAAGTGTAGTTCTGAGAAGGAAGTATGGGCTTCACACCAACACAAAAACATAACAATATTAAAGATATTTTTGTCCAAAGACAACCACTATGTCTCCCAACAAAATGTGCATCAGTATGACTTAAATCCAATATGGCAGCCATGTGGAAAAGCTAAGCTGTCATTCCATAACCCAAAGAGTCCGGTCCACACGCTCCGCAAGAACCCAACAGGAAAATCTTACAGGATCGATTGTTGGATTTAAAAAAAGAAATTAGAAAATAAGGTTTTTATTGCTAACATGATATAACTTACATCTAAGTATGGATCACAATGATGTCAGTGCAGTTGGCTTTCATTTGTATTAAAAACGGTTGATTGAATTGTTTTGGCAGAGACTTTCTGCCTGTATATTTAAAATGTACTCGAAACCTAGCAAGTACTGTATGTGTGTGTATAAATACATCTAATGCATGAAGGCATTGAACTGTACTCCAACATTTTAGCTGTGATTTTGCATCAAGTTTAGTTCTAGACCACCCTTGATTTTCCTGATGGGTTCATAACCAGACTGTGACTATGACAGGACCCCGCTGACACTCTGAACCCCCCCCCCTCAGAACATACTCATATAGATATGGTCACGTATCGTCAGT